CACTGTGGAACTGGTCCTACTTGCTTGCAAACTGTTGAGGTTATACAAGGGGATTTCATAAGTTTGTGGAAAATAGAATTAAAGTCTGAGTTTATTTTGATATAAAAAAAATATAGTGCCCTATAGTGAAAGAAAAAAGGTGACATCCATACATGGTTTTTTCTTAGTACACATTTCCCATGAACTTGTGCAGACTCCCCCCTTCTCTAACCAAGGGCTCTTTATTTTGTTTCTACAAGTGAAACAAAACAACAAAAACCCTGAAGATATATTCCGAGTCCTTTTCTGTTCTTCCAGGATCCCAGAGCCTCCTGCTTGGGGATTAGGACTGTTTCACACTGGGCCGCAGCTACGCCAGGGTCCGACCTTGGCCTCCGCAGGCAGAGATCAATGCAGCATGGACTTGCCAGAGGAGAGACCCCGGGGACTGCAGAGAGGCGCTTCTGCTCGCAGTTCAGCTGGGAAGTATGAGCCAACAAGCTGGCACTAATTAAGAGCTAATGGCCTTACAGTGGAGCATTGCCAAAGGATAAGGACCCTCCGGCTGCAGCATAAATATCAAGGCGTTTGGGACAGAGCCAAGACATATATTTTCAGAGAGCATTAGACACTGCCCGGCCATCCTTAGCCTGCGCTGCTGAGAAAAATGGGGAGATTTAAGACAGATAGGGACGAAGCTGGATCGTTTGCCTTCTTGTCAGCTGTTGGGAAAACCCTAGAGTGACTTTTGGGAAAGACTGCTTTCAGATCTAAAACGTTTGTGTATATGAGAATCACTCAAGGAGCTTGCTAAACTCTGGATGCTCTTGGCCCCACTCCCAGAGGGCTTGATTTCAGAAGCTCAGGGGCGAGACCCAGGAGTCTGCATTTTTTTTTTTTAAGGGAGATATTTTTGCTATAGGATGTGTGTACTAGCCAGAGAGAGAGAGAAAGAAAGCGAGAAATCACCAAGGGGCATGGCCAAGGTGCAATCTCTTCTCCTCCATTCTCCTCTCAGGATTTTGGGCACTCACACACACATGCCTGTTCGAATTTTAAACTCCAGGTCCAGGACTCGAACTGCTGTCAACTACAGGAGAGTCCAGCAACTTAACCACCATAACGCCATCTGTGGGTCCCAGGAGTCTGCAATTTTTTTTCCCTTTTTTTTTGGAGAGGTTTTTACTATAGGGCACGTGCGCTTACCAGAAAGACAGAGAGAGACAGAAAGATAAATAGTGAAAAATCATCCCCCTGGGCGGGGGATGGCCACACTGTGATCCCTTCTCCTCCTATCTCCTCTCAGGGTCTTGGGCACGCACACACCCATACACACACACACATACACACACAGTGTGAGTTTTAAGCCACCGGGTCTGGGACTCGAACCGCAGTCAACTACATGGGAGCCCAGTGACATAGCCATTATGTCAACTGCTGGTCCCCCAGGAGTCTGCATTTTTAACCAGCTCTGGAAAAGTGATTCTAATACTGGTGGTCCTCAGACCACCCTTTGAAAACTGCTACTTCAGAAGAAGCTGCTCTTACTTGCCCATCAGATCCCAGGGATGAAGTTTTTACAAATGAAGACAAAAGTGATGTCAAGGGCCAACATGGTGGCTCTGTGGTAACATAATACTCCATCATGCCAGGCTCACATGGGAGGGTCCCCGATTATCATCTGGAACTTTTCCTGGACATGCTGGGCGCACAAGCACACACGTGCCCTTGATTCAGGCTGACTGAGGTTGTGGATGGATGGTGGCATGAAGACCCTGTTAGAGAAATGTCCCGACCCGCAGGACAATGGAACAGGTTTCCGGAGGGAAAGACAGGACATGTTACAACAGGGGGATGACACAGTGTTATAACTCTTCAGGGTCGTCTGTTTATTGTGGGCAAGGGATGGTGGTTATATACATGTTGGTGGGCGGTGATTGGTTGTTAAAAGGTGGGTTATGATTGGTTGCTTTTGTGGACCAATTATGAGGTACCGGATATGCAAATCTGAGGGATTCTAGTGGCCAATCAGAGTGTGGTTTTGAAGGTGAGGTTTTGAAGGGGAGCCAATCATGGCCTTTGTCATTGTGTAATTGTTTGCTCTCTGAGCAATAGTAAGAGACTCATGAAAGTGGCCTTTGCAGACTCACTGGTGTGCAGCCTCCCACAGAGAAGACTGTCTCTCTCACCCTTCCCACCTCTCATGGAAGAAATGAATAAATAAACGTAAAGAATAAATAAAAGTGTGGTCAGGATTCTCAGCTTCCTGTGAAAATATCAGCCCAGAACCCGGCATAGGACTAGAGAATACCATAGAATACCACAGAGAGAGATGGTATTACCAGCCAGTCTGTTGGGATCTCCCCACTCGCACAAACTACCAGTTATAAGGAGCAAGATTCCAGGGAGCAGGTGGCAGTGCAGTGTAGGGAGCCGCCCTGTTGGCGAGCGATCCGACAGCACAGTGGTAACGCAGCTGGGCCCACAGAAGGAAAGTCCTGGTTTTGCGTCCAGTGACTTTGCTGGACAACGCACCTGTGTCTGTTATCCAAGCAAACCAAAACTGGGGGTGGATTGTGGCATGGGGCCCCCGTTGAGTCTCTCTCTCTTAGAGGATGTAAATAAACTTTTTAAAAAGGAGCAAGATTCCTATGTCCGGAGCAAAGAGAGAAAGCATCGACTTGCACAGCGCGTACCACGTCTGCAGCGCTTCATTCACCGTAACACACACGCTCATACTGCGGTCTTCATCGCATCTGTTCTAAAACCGAGCAACTGTAGGTCTGGAGGTGTGTCTTGCGGCCTCTGGTCACCATGACATCAGAAAAGAGAGTAGGAAATAGACACTGTCTTACAATTGCGGGAAGCAACAGGCAAATCAAACTAGTATCTCCTGCTTGACCTTCCTCAACCAGGCTTGTCATCTGTCGGTAGAACTGAGGTTGGTTGTCAGGACTGGCAAATACCGTTGTCAAAGAATGGATGGATCAGATTATAAAAACAGATGGGAAGGTATGTATGATAAATGCGAGTGAAGTATGAGAACAGGAGAGAAACAACCCATCATATCATCTGGGAACATGAAACTCCTTGGCAAGACTTCACAACAGCCTGATTCAAAATTTCATAATGAAATTATGTCTCTGATCAAAGCCTGAATGAGCTCATGGGCCGATTTTTGCCATTCGTGTTTATTCTGGTTTGCACCAAGTCAAGGCATCAGAAACACATTAACCTAATCTTCTCTCTGGGAGGAGGCTATCCTACCCTCCTTTGGGGGATCACAGAGAAAGTGCGGAGCAGAAGGGGCATCTTTGGGTCCTTGCTGAGTATGAAGGTTTGTCCCACCATGTCTTAGCAATCCTCCAATACCAGCCCCCCGTAACGGTTCACCCTTCCTAGCAAAGGAGTGTTTAATTGCATGAGCCATGTCCTCAGGGCAATAAAAGCGAGGGAGAGAAGGTATTTCCAGCTTTTGTCTAGGACATGGCCTGCTTTTGCTCCAGAAAGAATATTTTTGGGTTTGTTTGTTTCAAATCCAATCACTCCTCCCTCAATTAGACTACCTCACTTTATAACAAGTTGTTTGTTTTTATGGGATGAGCTACACTGCACGAATCCACCCTTCCTTCCGCCTACCCAACACTCCCCTGGGTATCCTAAGGGCATGGTGATAGACATTTCCTGACAACTCGGGGTACCAAAATACTCTTGGCTGAGTCTTACCGACCTGTGGGCATTGGACATGTCCATCTAATCGTTTTTTCCATCAGTGATTGTTTATTGAGGCCTTGCGTTGTTACAGGTGCTGTTTTAAGTCTTGGGGACATAGCGGTGAACAAACTCACATGATCCCTACTCTCAGGAAGCTTGTATTCCAGTGGCCAATAAACATTTCACTGGTGATAAATACCTCGAAGTAAATAAAACAGACATGGTAAAATGACCGCAGAGGGGCGAGAGGTGGCTGATTTAGACGAGGCAGGAAAAACGTCTCTCAGGAGGAAAGGTTGCCAGGCAGAACATACTTGTTAAGTTCAGATTTCAGGTAAACGGTGAATCATTTTTAGTCTAAGTATGACCCGGGCAATATTCGGGACAGGCTTATACTAACATATTCATTATTATTTTTTTTTGAGAGGTTTTCGCTATAGAGTGCGTGTGCTCGCCAGAAAGACAGAGAGAGACAGAGAGATAGAAAACTAGAAATCATCCTCCAGGGGGGATGGCCACGCCGCAATCCTTTCTCCTCCATTCTCCTCTTGGGATCTTGGGCACGCACGCACACGCGCCCGGCGTGAGTTTAAGCCGCTGGGTCTGGGACTTGAACCGCGGTCAACTACATGGGAGTCCAGCGACATAGCCATTACGCTAAATGCTGGTCCCCATACTAACATATTCTTTATCTGAAATTCAAATTTAACTGAGTTAGATTATTTACTAATTCGGGCAACCCTACCAGTCAGTGATGTCTGAGCTGAGAAGTGAATGGCCACTAGGAACTGGTGCAAAGCCTCCGGGAAAGATGGGGAAGAAACATTCAGTGTTGATGTCAGAATCGAAAGAGGAAGGGAGGCACAAATGAGGCCAGGTAAAGAGGCAGGGGCCGGATCACAGAGCTCTGCGGGGGCGACGAGGAGTTCGACTCCAGCGCTCTCATTCTAAGAGTGATGATAAGCCATCCGAGCTTCAAGGAACAGGATGACAAGTTCTGATTGATACTTGGCTGCTGTGTGGCCGGCCCCTTTTGGAAGGGCTTAAAAGACAAATTCCCAAGACAAACTTGAGCTCGCGCCATTGGCCTAGGAGGAAGCTTCTTTATTTGGGGGTGGACGGAATCAGGAGCTCAGGCCGCGCGTCCAGCGTCACCGGGCGGTTGCCACGGAGCGTCCGCTTGGCGGTTGCCAGGGCGGGAGGGGGCGGGGCTCGACGCAGGGGTATCCGTGCGGCCGGAGGGGGCGGGGCCAGGGGTGCGGCCGCGCGCGCCGCGCGTTCGCAGGAAGTCGCGCCGGGAAAGCCTGGGGGTGCGAGCGGAAGTGACGTAGCCCTTGCACGCGTGGTCCTGCGTGGTTCACCCGGGGCGCTTCTGCCGGGCCTGGGGAGTTCGCAGCTCGTTTACCCGACGTAAGCCAGATCCCGCACCCGTGCCCGCCCCGTCGGCAAGATGGTGAAGCCCAAGTACAAAGGACGGAGCACCATCAACCCCTCCAAGGCCAGCACCAACCCGGGTACGGGCGCCGGGCTCGGCGGGGGTGGAGCTTGGACGGAGCCTGGGGAGGGCTCCGAGGAGGGCTCCGAGGAGGCCGAGGGGGACGAGGGGGACGAGGGGCACCCGGGTGGCGTTGCCTGGCGCGACCTCGAGCGGAGTGACCATTGGGGATGAATGGAAGAAGGAGGGCAGCGTTTGCAGTGGTTTCTTCCGTGGGGGTCGCTGATGGGGGCTGACATTCTGCGCGGCCCAGTGTAGACACTTGGTCTGAAGGCGGGGAGGGCGAACGCTCAGGCCTGGCAGCAGCGGGTCCCCTCCCGTTGTGAGATGCAGGGAAAGTCAGGCCTCCAAAGTGGTGTAGGCCGACCCAGTGGGCCTTTTACACTTGACCACACTTTCCTGCCACCCTAGCTTTTACCAGGGGAATGAGGAAAGGATTGTACACTTGGTGGTCAGAATCGTCTCATCCCCTAAAGTGCGTAGAAAACCTTACAGCTACTATGACTTAGAGTTTTCGACCGTTTTAATGCATGGATTGATATGAAATTATTCAGTTTGTAATAATATTTGTCCTCCTCCTCTCTGAGATGGAAGGTAAGAACCACTACCAGTTTCGCTGCTGTCAAGTTAAAATATTAGGAACTTAAGAAACTGGCACATTGAGAACACTTGTCATTTCAAAGCGGTGGTCTGGGATGCCTTGCATATAGCCTGCACTCAGTATGTGTTAAACGGAAACGCAGAAATAGGACTCTTCGGTTAAAAGCCCAGATGGTGATCAGTTGCTCATGTTCAAACTCTGGCTTTACTATTTAGTAGCTTTGGGATCTTGGGCGCGGTGTCTGAACACTGTGCCTCAGTTTCTTCTTCTACATAGGGGTAATGTTTCTCTCTTTATGATTATCGCGTGTATTAACGAGAAAACGCCTGCAATGTGGCTAGCATGGGGCTGTAATTAGCGCTTCAAAAATTATAGCTATTGTCAGTATCAAGCACGACCCTACGGAAGATCACTCTGTCAGCCGCGTTGCTGGATAACTTCACCTAATAATTATCAGCGCAACATCCGGAGAAACTGTAGATCTCGCGAGGCGCAGCTTGCCTTGGGGGGAAGCTCCTTGGTGCAGTTTAAGCAGTGATGGCACTTGTTGGTTTTCAGAGAGCATGCCGTGTCCTTCTGCCTTTTCTAGATCGTGTGCAAGGAGCAGGAGGTCAGAACATGAGGGACCGGGCCACTATCCGGCGCCTGAACATGTACAGGCAGAAGGAGCGCAGGTGAGGACTCGCACGGCCATCCTGTCCCCTCCTCTGTGTCCTTGGCTGCAGCTGAGCCCTCTTAAGCCTTTGATATCTCACCTCGACTTGTTTGAAACAGGAGTGTTGTATTTTAAAAGGTCATTTTATATGAGCGGTAGGAAAAATTGTTAATTTTGGTTAAGGGCATGGGCAGTGGGTGAGGAAATGATTTCCCCCATAATATGCTTTTTTTTTTTGTTTTTTTTCTTTTAGAGAGATTTTTGCAGTAAGTTATGTATGCTCACCAGAGAGACAGGAAGTGAGAAATCATCCCCCAGGGGGCATGGCCAAGCCAAAATCCCTTTTCTTCCACTCTCCTCTCGGAATCTTGGGCATGCATGCACATGTGCCTGGTGTGAGTTTTAACCCGCCAGGTCTGGGACTCGAACTATGGTGGACTGTATGGGAGTCCAGTGATGTAACCATTATGACATCTGCTAGTCCCTCCCCACAATATTCTACAATAAGTAGAGGTCTTGTTCCTCACAGCTCTGACTGCCACAAATGGCACAGTAAATCTCAGAGTTAAATGTCCATCAGATAGAAATACAAAGCTTATGGGACCAGCAGATGGTATAATGGTTGTGTTGCTGGACTCCCACGTAGTTGACCAGTTTGAATCCCAGACCTGGCAGCTTAAAACTCACACTAGACACATGTGTGTGTATGCCCAAAATCCCAAGAGGAGATTGAAAGAGAAGATTGGGGGGGGGGTGATTTCTTGCTTTCTGTCTCTCTGAGCATGCACCCTATAGAAGAATTCTCTCTCTCTCTCTTTTTTTTTTGGAAAGGTTGTTTTTGCTATAAGGGCGCATGTCCTCACCAGAAAGAGAGAGACAGAGAGACAGAAAGCGAGAAACCACCCCCCGGGGGGATGGGCATGCGCAATCCCTTTTCCTCCATTCTCCTCTCGGGATCTTGGGTGCACACGCCCACACGCCCGGCGTGAGTTTTAAGTTGCCAGGTTCAGGACTTGAACTGCGGTTGACTACATGGGAGTCCAGCGACATAGCCATTACGCCAACTGCTGGTCCTGCAAAATTTTCTCTTAAAAAAGGAAGAATACAGACAGACAAAGCATATAAGACTGTAGTTCTGAAATCTGCAGAAAACTTGTGTTTTTTTTTGGTTTATTTTTAGTTTTTGATATAGGGCATGTGTATTTGCCAGAGAGAGAGAGAGAACGTGAGAAATCACCCCCCTTGGGGGAGATGGCCATTCTGCAGCCAGATTTTTAGTCTTCTCTCAAAATGTCAGGCTCGCATGCATATGTCCCTAGTGGGATTTTTTTTTTTAAAGCCGCCAGATCTGGGACTTGAACCATCATGTGGGATCCAGGGCCTTAACCACCATGCCACTTGCTGGTGTAAAATCTTGTTTGTTTTTTCTTAGGTTTTTGCTGTAGGGTTGAGAGAGACACAGAGTGAGAAATCACCTCCTCGGGGGCATAGCTGTGTTGTAATCCCTTTCCTCCGATCTCCTATTGGGATTTTGGGCATGCGTGCACATATTCCCAGCATGATTTTTAGGCCACCTGGTTCAGGACTTGAGTCTTGATGAACCCTATGGAAGTCCAGCACCTTAAGGGTTGTATCACCTGCCGGCCTCTCAGAAACTTGTTTTTCGGTGTTCAACTCTGGATCGCAACATTGTGGCACTTGGAAACTCATCACAACCCTGAGTTCTGCTGAGGCAGCCTCTACCAGGGACTTGCTGAGTGTAGCATTTTGCTAGTGTTCTTAATTGTTTGGTAATTGGATTCTTCATCTGTTCTAAAGGATGTGTCTAAAACACAAATGTCAATGAACTTAATCTGCCTTAGTCACCTACTTTGCTGTTTGTTTTAGAATTTTGAGTTCCAGCATAAATCACCCTCTACTTAAAATTCATTTAAACCAGCCTTCAAATAATTACCCAAAAAACTCAAGAATGTGATTTTTTTAAAAAGCAAACAAACAGTAAACAGATCTTTAAACATCAGCATTACTTGTTACTCATCTAGCAGAAATCATTACGTGCTCTGTTGCAAGAGGTTAAATGGCTTTTGAGCAATCTGTTTCAAATGTAGAATTTCTTTTTGTTTATTGAAATCTGTATTTCATGATTATTTAAAACCAAAAGAAAAAGAAAAAAGTCCCTTTGATGGAAAGGGTATTCTGTAAACCATACTTTTTCTGTTTCTTTTCTTCTGTTGTCAACCAAAATCTGTTATTTCCTCAATTTAGGAACAGTCGTGGTAAAGTGATTAAACCCCTGCAGTATCAATCAACAGTGGCTTCTGGCACAGTGGCAAGAGTAGAGCCAAATATTAAATGGTTTGGTGAGTACCGTTCTGTTACTTTGCCTATAAAATGTACGCTGTAGTGCCAGCAGGTGGTGTGGAGGTTAATGCGGCTAGATCCCACATGACCAGTTGCGCAGTTCAAGTCCTGGACCCGGTGACTTGGAACTCACATTGGGCGTGTGTGTGTGTGTGTGTGTGTGTGCGCGCGCGCGCGTGTGCGTGCATGTATGTCCACGTCCTGGGAGGGGAATGGAGAAGGGATTATGGCAGGGTCATCCACCTTGGGGTTTGATTTTTTACTTTCCTTCTCTCCATCTCTCTCTGTCAAGTGCATACTCCCTATAGCAAAAACATTTTTTTAAAAGAATTATTTTATTTAACTTTATTATTTATTTATTTAAATTAAAAATTATTTCATTGAACTTTATTTATTTTAATTTGACCAGAGAGGGACACAGAGAGAGACAGAGAGAGAGAGAGAGAGTGAGAGAGAGTGAGAAAGCAAGTTGCCAGGTCTGGGACTTGAACCGCGGTCAGCCGTGTGGGAGTCCAGTGCCCTTAACTACCACGCCACCTGTTGGCCCCAATTTATTTATTTTAATTTGACCAGAGAGGGACAGAGGGGAGGGGGAGGAAGCGAGAGAACAAACCACCAGGTCCAGGACTCGAACTACTGTCGGCCATGTGGTTAAGCACCTTTAACCAGCACGCCACCTGCTGGCCCCTGTATAGGAAAAACTTAAAAAAAAAAAAAAAAAAAAAAAAGGTATGCTGTATGGAAAAGACTCAGATGACCAAAAAGTTGGAGTTTTTACTGAGTGGGATAGTCAAGGGTTGTAAGAGAAAGGATTCTTGTGGAGCTCATTATTGAGTTATAAGTGAACCTCCTTAAGCAGATTAAGACCATCCTTAATGACTAACATTCAGAGACATTATAACTCTGATCTCTTAGTTTCTGGTTGCCTGGAGGGATTGCTACCTGAGCGGTGGCCTTGCAGGTGTGTTTGTGCTTTTGGCTTGTAGGGTAATTACACTATCTGAAAATTCCCCCTTAACCACTCAGTTTTGAACTTGAGTGACAGTGAAGGGATCTCCTTGTTGCTCTTTCCAGCAGTCTATAGAGTATCTGTAGTCCAGGGGGAGTAGGGCTTCCTTCTCAGTGAACTCCTGTGATTTCTGCCTAGACTTTGAACCTTTCCTTTAGCCACTGGCAGGATGGGCACTTCTGAAGGTCAGACCTTTGTGCTTCGGGGCAGATGGCAACTACCTTAGGATCTATCTTTTATACCTTTTGATGCGATGCCTTGAGAGAAACTTGAGCACAGGAAGGTGTCAGAGAGAACTTTTTTTAAAGTTTTTGTCATAGGGCATGAGTGCTAACTGGTGAGAGAGAGAGAGAGAGAAAGTAAGTGGGAAATCATCCCCTGGGGAGATGGCCATGCCACAATCCCTTCTCCTCCAATCTCCTATCAGGATTTTGGGCACATTGCCCAGCGTGATTTTTAAGCCACCAAGTCCAGACCTCAAACTGCAGAGTCAGCCATGTGGGATCCGGCCACTTTAACCTCCAAGCCACTTGCTGGCCGCAGGAAAACTCTTCAGAGAGGCCTTTAGCATGGTGACTAGGTACTGCATCTCTAGATCTAGACCGCCTGGGTTTGAATCCTCGTTCTGCCATTTCTGTGATTGTGGGCAGGTTGTCTGTGTTCGTCAGTTTCCTCATTTCTGAAATAAGAATAAACGCAGGAACTGTCTTACAGAACTGTCATGGAAATGAGTCAGTATTGCCTGGCTGGGAGAATATGCACACTGTCCTCTCACCTTGGTGCTCTGCATCTGTGGCGCATTGCGCTGTTACGACACGCTTTCATCGGGATCCCACTAGTGTTCTTGGGTGGTGTCGTCGCCTTCACTTTGTTCCCTTGCGTGGATTGATTCTTTCTTTCCTGCCTTCTTTCCTTTCTTTCCTTCTTCCTTCCTTTCAGTTTTTGTTAGGGAATATGTGCTCCCTATAAGACAGCAGTTACCTGCTGGAGGGATGGCCATGCCACATCCCTTCTCCTCCATTCTTTAGGATTTGGACTGGCACGCACACATATCTGGCATGTCTTGTAAGCTGCCGGGTCCAGGGCTCGAACCATGCAGTTGGCCATGTGAGATCCAGTCATCTTAACCACCATGCCACTAGCTGGCTTAATAATCGAGTGATTTATTGATAATAGCTCTGTTCAGACCCTTGTAATCCCATAACTTGACTCGAGTTTCTGTGCTTCAGGTCTCTCTGTGCAAACTGATCAGCTGTGATTGGCTCTAGGTTTCTTTGGCAGGTCCAGCAGGAAGTATTAATAGAACCTTTGTCAGATCTCACCATCCAGTGATGCTTATTTTTCAGTTTTATCCAGTCAGGAAATTGGGCTTGGAATACTATGGAAACTCATTGTGTGTCTGGGTTGGTGGATTAGTTCATAGCGTATGAATGCAGGAGAGGCAGTTTTTTGTTTTGTTTCGTTTCGTTTCCTTTTTTAAGTTTGAAAATGGGCTGCAAGGGTTGGCTGTATCAGGTGTTTGGGTAAAGTGAGTAATTTGAAATCTTTTACTGTATCAGTTGGAAGAGGGGTGCAGAAGTAAAACGGAGTTGTTTATTAAATGGCAACCTTCTTTATTTATAAAACAGGAAACACACGGGTGATTAAGCAGTCATCATTACAAAAATTTCAAGAGGAAATGGATACAGTTATGAAGGATCCATACAAAGTTGTCATGAAGCAAAGCAAATTGCCAATGTCTCTCCTTCAGGACCGAATCCGGCCTCATGTAAGATGCAGGCTCTCCCTGGTGATGGGTTTCTTAGGAAAACTCTGCAGATCCTCCTCAAACATGCTTGTCTTTCGTTTTTCTTAAGATAATCATGGCTTTAACGCAGCAGTGGTGAACTCTCTGAGACTTCTCTTTTTACCTTTGTTAGGGGTCTCTAATACAAGTTCTGTTTTGTTGGGGGTCTACAGTAGCCCAGTGGGTCAAAGCACAATTTTTGGGGGTGAGACCTGAATTTGAACCCTTGTGTCAGGTTTCCTAGCAAGCTCTCATGTCCCTGCATGCAGAGAGAACCTCCCGCCTTGGGTGATTGAGTACAGAGGAGACCTCTGTGAAGTACTTGGCCCATAGTGAGCCCTTGGTCCACCCCCTAGTGAGAGCTAAGTGAGTAATAGCTGCTAGTAGGATTATGCCTGAATCTTTGTTTTGACAGCTAAACTTGTTTCACACCTTGGGGAAATGCAGAGAATTGGGATCGGGTTGGTTGGTGGTGTGGACTTCTTGCTTTTTGAGATCCTTGGAGATTGTTTTTCCCTGAAGGAAAGGGTGCCATTCTCGTCGGTTGGTGGGTGCTGAAGTTCGATGTACAGTCAGGATTCCAAAGTGACTTGGGTGGAATGAGTTTCTTGCCGAACAAAGAAATGGCCTACTGTTTGTGTGCACGTTTTTACTTGCATTGAATAATAATTCCCAGAAGTGTAGCCAGGACACAGCTCCGGTTCCAGTATAAGGAGGGAGGAAAACATTGACATGCATCCATGGATTAAACAGTTCAAAGAGAAGTGTTTACTTGTAGAACAAAATAAAAACCAAGGCCTGTTATTGCCTCAGGTTTTGTCAATTACGTTTTGTTTCATGACGGACTAGAAGAATGGCCCCTATTAGTGGGATGGCTGTTTCTTTTCAGGGAAACACATGAGTGTAGTTGGTGAGCCACAGACAAGTTGCTCATGCCCCGTGTTCTCTTTGTCCATTCTCCCTGAAGTCGTCTTTCAGCCAGCTATTGGATCCTGTTTATGGGAAGGACAGAGAAGTCCTTGTAGGGACTTGCTGCTTTGTCACCCATCCCACTTGTTCAGTGCTTCTAGGATTTCACATTTAATATCTGCTTTGCAGAAGGAAGGCTGCAGGTCCAACACTCATCTTTTGACAGCGAAGTGCTCAGAGTGACCGATGAGTTTTCTACTTTGGCCTCGAAAAACCGTACCTATTTTATTTTAGTGGCATAGCTGTTACTTAGTAGAGAATCTGATTCTGAGGGTCTGCAGAGTGGCATCGAGTTGGATAGGCTTTTCACTTCCGCACATTCAGCTACGTGTGCATTAGAACTACTATATTTCTGTAATCAGAGAAAATACCGTACCTTGCTTTTGCCTACGTATTTTACTACACGCTGCGTGTCACTGCATTGCACTTACTAACGTGTAGGTTTACAGACAGATCCATGCACGAGGTCTTCAGAAAGTCTATGGAAAACGCGTATAATGCAAAGACTACTTGCGGCTCTCAAAATTTGTTTGCACCAAAGTATACTTTAATTCCGTTTTCTACAAACGTTTTGAAGTTCTCTTATATACTGTACTTCAAAGTTATTTAAGAGATTTTTCAAGGATAATTTTGGTCATACTCGATTTGACATGTAACATATGATTCTTCTGTTTGAGAGCTTTCCCTGATGGTTGGTAGTGAGAGAAACTGAGGGATGGGCTGGAGAATCCGAGAACATGTTGGTAATTTAGGGATCTGGGGAAGTTGGGAGTGGGGGCATCTGTTCTATCAAAGTCCAAAAGCCCCAGGGGTTGCTCTGCCATCCTGAGTTTAGTAGCTGGTGCTTATGGAGGCTCTTGTACTGTGGGGAGAAGAGGTGGCTCTATGTGTGTTTTTTCTTTCCTTATTTTGGTGGGGGTACCCCCTGCCGGCTGTCAGCTCTGTGTTACGTGATAGATCCTAACTCGGACTTTGACTTTTATCCTGCTTCAAAAACTCCTACGCCTGCAACTCCTTTGCAGGCACATCAAGTTCTAGTTAGTATCAGGTTCCTTTTATCACATCTAAACTCTTATTTTGGACTTTTGCTAGATGTTTTTCATCTGAAGGCTTTCCATGTGCATTTAATAAAAACGTTACCTAAATTAGGGAAAATGTTATCTGAAACTAAAATGCATCTTACAAAACAAGCAATTCCTTTTAGCCATGAAAGAAATTAACTTCCAAGAAAAAGTTGGCATTTACAGTTGGTTTAAAAAAAAAACACAAATTTGAGTATGATTGTCCTTGACAAAATCTGTGAATTTGGCGAATTTTATGCACTTGTTTGAAGGCTCAAAAAAATGGTCAGAAAAGATAAGTTAATTTTCGTCATGTCGCCTTAATTGCATTTGACCGAAGTTTATGATAAATGAAGTAAAGCAGAGTATTTGGCAAGTCTTAGGCAACTATTCATATTTGCTTTGATTATTTGTATTACTTTTATATTTCTCCAAGGAAGCTTACAGAACATCAGAATAGGGGAACAAGTGCTTGTGCTATTTAAATCAGCCTTTCTGACTTGGAGCCAAACCATATCCGTGTTGTTGTAGATTTTGGTATGAGTTGAGCTTTGGGAAAATAAAAACGGAAAAGCCTGTCCTAGGTGGGTGATTCACTTTTTGCCTTTCTCGGTGCTTTTCTTGGTTTCACCTGTCATTCTCCTTTTCCTTTAGAACTCAAAGGTGCACATTCTTGACACTGAAAGTTTTGAGACGACATTTGGCCCTAAGGCACAGAGGAAGCGACCAAACTTACTTGCGAGTGACATGCAGTCTCTCATAGACAGTGCCGAAGTGTCCACTGAGAACTATGACCAGGGCAAGGACCACGATTTGGTAACCGAAGACACTGGTGTGAGGTACAGTTTGGAAGTTCATGCACATCTCATCATTTGCCCTTCTGCAACTGAACTTTTGCTTTCAGACTTCTTTTGCCTATACAAAAGTTGGTGATTTACCTTGTAGAAATTTTGGTGAAATTGTGGCCACACTGAAAGTCATCGAAGATGGCTTGATTGCCACACGTCTGTCTTCATACCCAAAATAAAAATACCCAAAATAAAAATAAAAAGGAATAGCAGTTCTTTAAATAACACTACAGTAGCACTATATCCTGTCTTAGATCAACTAAAAAAATACAGCTGGGACCAGCAGTTAGCATAAGGGCTATGTCGCTGGACTCCCATGTAGTCGACCGCGGTTCGCGTCCCGGACCCAGTGGCTTAAAACTCACGCCGGGCGCGTGTGCATGCATGCCCAAGATCCCGAGAGGGGAATGGAGGAGAAAGGATTGCGGCATGGCCATCCCCCCGGGGGGGTGATTTCTCGCTTTCTGTCTCTGTCTGTCTGTCTGTTTTGCCTTATAGGCAAAACCTCTCCAAAAAAAAAAAAAAAAACAGCTAAGTTGGAAAATGTAACAAAAAGAAAATAACTCAGCCCCATTACTCAGGTTAAGCATTGGTGATAGCTTGGTGGGTACTGGGGCTTTCCTAACCAGAGGTCTCTGGATCACTAGAGAGTTCAGGGATGGCTTTTGAGGTTTCTTTACCCCTCAAGATAATATGGAAAGTTTATGAATATGCATAAAGATAGTAGTATTTTGTTTTGTATTGTTTTGGCGGGCAGGAGGAAGAGGGGGAGAGGGAGGATTCATAACTTTGTGACTGCCAGAGTATGTGTGTGCTCATTAGAGAGACGGGGACGAGGAAGCACCCCCAAAGGGGGCATGGTCACGCCGCAGTCCTTTCTGCTCTGTTTCTCAGTCTCATCAGGATTCGGGGCATGTCCCCACATGTCCCCACCTGGCCATGGGCTCAAGCCCCTGGGGCTGGGATTTGAATTGCACTCAGCCATGTGGGATCCAACTCCTTAGCCATTAAGTGTCAGGGCCAACCTGGATATGTAGGATCCATACCCAGAGAAGAGTTAAGAATCTGTCACTGGTGAGTACCTTTTACATGCACTTTTAAAAAACAAAATCAGTGCCTTAAGACTATTTTGCCTTTTGTTTTAATATATTTTTCTAAGTTATTAAAAATACATGAAAGGGCCAGTGGAGGGCCAGTCATGTAGCATGGGTAAGGCAGTGGGTCCCATGTGGCCAACCGCATGGTTTGAGTCGTGGCTCTGGTGGCTTAAAAAACATGCCAGGTACTTGTGTGTGTAAGCCCCACATCCCAAGAGGAGAGTGGAGGAGAAGGACTTGGTCATCCCTCCCTGGGGGAACTCTGCCTGCCCCATACGCACATGTGCCATTGGCAGAAGTTGAGATTCAGGTACACGCTTATTTGGATTTAAAGATATTTTTACATCAATGCATTTTTTCATAATGTGCATTTTTGGGGTACTTTTTAAAGACGTCTTGGTATTCGCATGTCAGTATGTTAACTGGCGGCAATAGAATGTTTACTGTCAGAGTATTTAGTCGTGGCCAGTCCTGTTGTTGGGCATTTGTGCTGTTTTACTGTTTTTCTCTATGGTAAACGGCACGAGGGTGAAACCTCAGTGCGACTAAACCTTCCTCATCCTCAATCCCCAAAGATCAGTGCCTGCAGCGTGACAGGATTTCAAAGGGCATGCCTGCTTTTGACTGGGAGCTGCCACAGTGCCGTCCCAGAAGGGTTTCCCAGTATAGTTTCCCAGGGGCAGCACTGGAGAAATCTTTGTCACCTGCTTCTGACGGGGCGTGGAAGTTCTGCCGTCCTAGTGCAGAGCTGTGGTTTGTCGACTGGGGCGGTGCTGCTGCACCTGCTCACTGCCTGTCAGCCCAGTGCAAGCCGGGTGAAAGGGAACAGGGGTCGCCTCTGCCCCCCGCCTGTCAGCGCAGTGCAAGCCGGGTGAAAGGGAACAGGGGTCGCCTCTGCCCGCCACCTGTCAGCGCAGTGCAAGCTGGGTGAGAGGGAACAGGGGCCGCCTCTGCCCCCCGCCTGTCAGCCCCGTGCAAGCTGGGTGCTTTCGAGAGGGACCAGGGAGCCGTTTGAGGCCAAGTACAACCAGGCAGCAAGCAAATTTATTTGTAGAATTAGTTGAACTTTGTCAGCTTTGTATTCTTCTGGTTTGAATTTTTCCCTCCTCCTGAAAGCGCTGTAGGTAGTGGGGAAAGGACAACACTATTTTTGTTTCATTTTCTGTGGATAAATGGCTTTGAGGCGTGTGAATAAACAGTGAATAAACAGGTTCGAAACCTCATCAGAAAAGTGTCACTTACCTTTACGTGGGAGCCAAGGAGCGCAGCTTGAGACTCAGGTCCTGCCAGTCCCATCTCATTGCTCTGTGACATGCTGCCTACTTACAGTTGTGCTTTCTTTTTTTTTTTTTTTTAAAGACTTACTTTTTATTTCATTTTATTCATTGTCATTATTTTATTTTTCTTTTTGATGTTCACCAGAGAGAGAGAGAGAGAGAAGGAAAGTGAGAAAGCAAGCTGCCAGGTCTGGACTTGAACCGTGGTTAGCCATGTGGGAGTCCATCCGCCTTAACCACCACGCCATCTGCCAGCCCCCAGTTGTGCTTTCTTTAGTTTACTTTTTTTAAATTGTAAAATGCATCTAATGCAAAATTTACCGTGCTGACCATTTTGAGTGGACAGTTCATCTTGCACTAAGCACATTTCCACCATGTGCTGTTGCTACACTGTCTGCATCCAGAACCTTTTCATCATGTCCAACCGAAACTCTGCACCCGTTTTACACGAACTTCCGTCCCCCTCCCCGCACGCGGTAGCCACAGTTCTCTTTCTGTCTGCGTTGGTTCGTCTGCGTACCTCGTGTAAGTGGAATCATACTGTGTTTGTCCTCTCGTGTCCAGCTTAGCATGTCTTCGTGGTTCAGCCACATTGCAGTGTGTGTCAGAATTTCATTCCTTCTTAGAGCTGAGTAATACTACAGTGTGTGTATCTGCTGCATTGTGGTTATTCATTCATTCGTCAATGGACACTTGGGTACACTTCTCTCCCGCTCCCAGTTGTCGTACGATATGCGCACTTGCCAGAGGGAGATGGGTTGAGGGGGGAGTGAGAAAGCAGCCATCAGGGAGGATGGCCACACCACAGTCCGTTCTTCTCCATTGTCCTGTCGGAATTTGGGGTGTGCATGCACATGTGTCCAGCGTACTTTTCAAGTGCTGGGTCCAGGATTCGAACTAGACAGACAGCCATCTGGGATCCAGCCACCTTAACCACCACAACTCCAGCTGGCCCTACTCACATATTTTGTTTGGTTTAGTTTGTACCACCTTTATTAATGAGTCATTTTTTATTAATGTAACAGTTGTTACCATGTGGTTTTCCAGTACATGACTACAATATGTAACAGTGCACCATCTCAACCGTGTGTAACATTGTATACAGTAAGTTTTGTTAGCCACTGCCCTCCTGGCTGTATTTTGTAACACTGGATATTGTTCTGTCTGCAATTTTGTTTCCATTAAACAGCTTCCCTCAGCCTGCCATTGTTCTCTGGTAGTCAGTCTACATTTCTCTACTTCCTAGCTCATTTCTACCAATTTTCACATAGAAGGGAAAACACAGGGCATTTCGCTTTAGTTTTTCAGAAATCTCCGTGTATAGTCAGCTTTTAAAATTTTCCTTACTTTTGTTCCTTCTCCAACTAGTTTGATACCCTTTCCTTTGGTACCTGGTTAATTTTTCCCAATGCGTCCTTTTAAGTCTTGATAGCGCTTTAGTTGCTCATTTTGGATGTTTTCTTATTTAGAAATGAAGCCCAAGAAGAGATATATAAGAAGGGACAGTCCAAAAGAATTTGGGGTGAACTCTACAAGGTAAGACTTAAATTCTCTCTCATTGAGTGGTCTTCGGCTTTCACGATCTTCTCTGAGAAAACTGATTTTGGCAGATGGAAGCTCTGCTACATGAAGTGCAGACGCTGCTGCCCGTCCCTCCTCTTATGTACTGTCCCTGTTCTGAGTAACAGCATTTCTTTCTCTTTTTTCAAGTTGATTTAATGAGAGAGAGGGAAGGAGGGAGGGGGAGAGGCGGATAGGTACCCTTAGTAGCGTCTCGATGATGCAGTCCACCTCTAGCTTCAGGTAGCCCCATCTTGGGCACGCACCTGACATGCTCGGGGATGTCTCTTGATGCGAACTTGGAGCCTTTCGATGTGCGTCAGCCCTGCAGAGCATCCCATTACCTCTGTGCCACTGTCCAGCCCTGTACCTGCCTTTCTTAAGCTATTTGGATAAGAATAAAACCCCTACACTCATATATTGTCAGTGTTTATTTAGACTATCTGCT